GAAACTAGCCACGACTGCCACAAGCGTTATACAATCACAATCTCACTTCCATATAGGATAAGGACGACAAACGAGCACACAGCCCACCTGATGGCAAATTGCTGTAGCCCATAGACATCAGGACTAAGATAAAAAGTCTCGTTTCCAGAAAAAAGGTTCTTCGAATCTCTACACTCACCATACGAAACACAGCAACGTAAAGCTGCTATTTTATGCTGGTATTCTGTGAGAACTTCCCTGATTGAGCCGACCCATTCGTGCTACAACTATACTACTAATATAGCAGCAGCATTGTGTTGCTCCACAAATAGTACAACTTTTTTGTTAGGGAGATGACGGTACTTAGTTTACTAATTGTTCGATGTTCCGTTTTTATCTTACATTTGTGTACATAGTGCATTGAACGCAAGACAATTGGATTCACAGTTGGAACAAGTGCAAAATGTTCCCACGAAGACATTGAACTAAACCAACGCTATAGAAACATGTTTGGATATAAATTTTTTTTTCATGTTTACTGTACACTGTTACAAAATAGGCTATTGAGATTTTCTTTTGTTTAATTTGATGAGCGTTTATACGGTAAGTTTTTATTCCTCATCAGGCCATAAACGTCGAAGGCTGAACACGGTTCTCATCAATGATTTAACTTAATCGTCACGCTCAACATGCAGATTGGCGATTATATTATACGATTATAGTACCAGCTCTCTGCTGGCCTTGATGCTATTCCCTTACACCGGTCAGCCATACACCATTCTTATAACCTGACTTACATCTATGGCGCTAAGTGTTCTACGATTAAGAAATCTAAATTATTATTTCATAATATCATAATACTTCCTTGTAAATATAACATAAGCTCTAAATTACCATTAATCAATGTGCAGTGAACATAATCAACTTTATAGCAACATTAATAACGATTTTAGTAATTTACTGCACTAAAAAAAGGTTCTCGAGATAGAGCGACTAGTGAGTCATGCAAGAAATCGATGGGTACAGTTGACTGACTGACAGTAGAGAACTTTGTTTTGCGGTAAACTTGTAAGAGGCTGTTAAAATTATTATGATGGTGACTGTACTTTGTTAGACGCTAATTATACCGCTATGAGTTGAGGTATATTTTTTATTGCCAAACTATAAAGTTTTTATATATATTCTTAACCTCTTAAATTACATCGCTTTAAAATTTTCTGAAATTCGTTAGGCTTATACTTATTGTTGTTATTTGATATGTTAAGTGTTATAGAAATAATTGTACGTTTTTATTTTTATTTTAACTACGATTTAAATGTAGGTATAAGTTGTTTATTTTCTTCTTGTGTATTTTAAAATATATAAATAATAAATATAGCTCTCATATACCTTTTTCAGTAATTCAAGTTTCAAATAGTTCACAGACTGGAAGTGAAGCTGAATTTCTCTATATCGAAGTTCTTCTTGGTCATACAAAATTACTTCTCAAAGTCTTTTACAGTCCCTCTCTCACTGTTGACTCCTTCACCACGTTAGAAAATATTCTTGACAATCTTACACCTATCTATTGTCACAGTATTATTATGGGTGATTTTAATACTTGTCTTTTAAAAAAACAACGCTAAATCAATAAAACTTAAATCTATTATTGAAGCAGCAAATTTAAAACTTCTTCCTACTTCTGCCACACACTTTTTCCCAAACTGTACCTTCTCTTCTCGACATAATGTTTGTATCTTCACCTGACCATGTTCTTAAATTTGAGCAACATGCTGCTGATTCCTTTCCTATCACGATCTTTTGTACTTGTCATACAAAATCCGTCCCCCTAAAGCCAAGTCAAGGATACTACTTCAGCGTTACTAACTTTAGTGATTTTAGTTACTTGTATTTGGAGCAGCTTTTAAATGACGCTGTAAAGATTGATTGGAGTGTAGTCGTCAATGCGTCTACTGTTGTTGAACAGGTTGTTTTGTTCAACTCTCTGTTAATTCAGCAATACGACGTTCACGATTCTGTTCGTCCAGTGCCTGTAAAGCATCCTCCCTCTCCTTGGCTGACCGATGGTATAAAAATTGTGCCAAAGCTAAATACAAGTCAGTTCCTAGCAATTTAAATAGAGAGAAGTATAGATTAGTACGGAATCGTTGCAGCAATCTGTGTAGATAAGCACAACGACGCCATATCCACAAATCAGAACAAGATCCTGACCCTGCTAAGGTCTGGAAATTTCTTAAGTCTTTAGAGTCGGGAAATTACGACAAAATCTCACACACAATAACTTTGATCTCAATCAACTTAATTTTCATTTCTCATCTTCCTCTTGCATTAACGATAAAGCAAAACATAATACTTTGGATTCTCTTTCAAAAGCTCCCATTCCGGACACCTCTGCTTTTAATTTTAGCCAATTTAACAGTTGTGATGTCAAGAGAGCCATAATGTCCATCCATTCAAATTCGATTGGTAGTGACTGCATTAGTCGGAAAATGGTCATCCCTCTCATTGATCTCCTTTTACCTATAATCACTTCTATCCTGAATAATTCACTGAATTCTGCTTTTTTTCTCTTCAGCTTGGAAAGACGCATTTGTAGTTCTTCTTCCGAAAAAATCAAATCCCTCTAGTTTTTCTGGTTATAGACCTATCTCTATTTTGCCTTTCTTTTCCAAAGTTCTAGAAAGTCTTGTGCACAATCAATTAAGCACCTATCTCTTAAAACACAATCTTTTAAATCCCTTGTAATCCGGTTTCCGTCCTGGCCATAGTACAACTACTGTACTTTTACAAATCACTGATGATATTCGGTATGGTATGGAGAAACAAAAGCTTACCATTCTCACGTTGCTTGATTTTAGTAATGCATTTAATACAGTAGATTTTGATATCTTGTTAAGCATCCTGCGCTCTCTCAACATATCTCCAACTGTAGTTGATTGGTTTCGAAGTTACTTGTTCGGTCACCGACTGCGAATTCAGGTGCAAGAGGTTTGTTCCACCTGGACTACTACAGTTGCTGGTTTACCACAAGGTGGCGTGTTGTCTCCTCTCCTTTTTGCAACTTTCATTAACTCTATAAGTCATAATTTGTCCTCTTTCTAACACTTTTATGCTGAGGATCTCCAAATCTATACCTAGTCCTCTCTTGAAGATCTATCTAAAGCAGTTGACACTATTAACGTTGATCTGACTTGTATTTCGAATTGGAGTAAATGTTATTTTTTAACGATTAATCCTAAGAAAACTCAGGTCATTGTCATCGGTAGTTCTAGATTAATTGGTAAAATTGACTGGTCTTCCCTACCCCCTATTATACTAGACTGCACTCTAACCCCTTACAGTAACAAGGTTAAAAACATTCAAAATTTACACAATAGATTTAAATTTGGGCTTCGCAAATATGATCATATCTCCGAATTTCGCAAACAGCTCTAATGGCTCCCGATCCGCCTTCGCAGGAATACTCACATTCTTTCCGCGTTGTATAGCGTGCTGTTTAATCCTTCCACTCCTCTTTATTTAAAAAAATCGTTTACAGTATCTTTCTCTTACCCATAATCGGTTCCTTCGACCCTCCGTCAATCTGTCTCTCTCTACACCTTTGCACTCTTCTTCCTTTTTCAAGAAATCCTTCACTGTAACTGCTGACTCTACATTTTCGTCGTGTTAAATCTCTTCACTCTTTCAAAAGTCTTGTTAAATCGTATTATTTAGAACGCTATTAGATAAATTACTTTACCTTTCTAGTACTCTTTTCATTTAATCTATTATATGATATTTTATATATAATTTTCACTTATCTTGATTTGTATGTATTACTATATTTTTATTATTATTTTGTATGCCCCCCCTCCATTTTAACTTTTGTTTGCATCATTTCTCTATGCATAGGTTGTCTGGAAGAAATCACTTTCAGAGTGATAAGACCGCCTATTGTACATACTTTAATTTAGTTTTAACTGTACTTGATGTTTATGTATTGTGGTGTACAAAAAAGAATAAATAAATAAATATTAGTTATTTGACTGCCACGTTAGTCCAGTGGTTGTAAACGCGTTTACTTATCCTGAGATCCCAGTTTTGTATCCTAGGTCACACGAAATCAGTTATTAGGGTTTTTATCAAGAAATTCTCAATAGCATCCCGGTGTCAGAAATTTGGCAGTTTTTCATCCCCGTGCCTTGCAAAGCACGGGGTAAAACTGTTGGTCTTGTGCCTGATCTCTCCGGTCGAGTCGAATAGCCGTCCCATCGGACTAGGAGCCTGAGGGAATGGAGAGTGCACTTGTGCTTGCGCATACACTTGGGCACTATTATCCCATCCTATGCAGTTGTCTCCTTTGGGACGGGTAACCGTGACCGAAATTCGGTCTGGAAGACTTTCTTATTCAATATATAAATAAATTAATTAAAAATAAATCAGAATTCTTATAGAAAGAAAAGAAAGAAAGAACACATAGTCACATTAGGTTTCGGTTTTTGTAATCGGTAAGCGTAAGTATAGACTCAGAAATGAAGATATCCGCAGTAAAACCAGAGTGACCGACATAGCCCAACGGATTAGTAAGCTGAAGTGGCAATGGGCCGGCCATATAGCTCGAAGAACCGATAACTAATGGGGACGAAAGGTTCTCGAGTGGCAGCCTCGTACCGGTAGGCGTAGTGTAGGGCGACCCCCCACTAGATGGAGTGACGACCTAGTAAGATATGCAGGAAGTCGATGGATGCAGGTGGCTCAGGACCATGCTTTGTGGCATTAATTGGGGGAGGCCTATGTTCAGTAGTGGATTTGTGAAGGGCTGTAATGATGATGATGATGAAGCGGAAGTATAATACGAACTTTAAAAGTCAAATTCACCTGCACTGTATTATCAGTTGTGGATTTAGAATCTGATTAAAATTAACGTAAAACACTAGATTACATCGAATTAAATTATCACTCATATATAATTTTTTTTATTTCAGATACACGAATGAAAACCAAAAATGACAAGAAAATTTCTATTTTGTTTCCCGCTACGGATGGGGAACGTTGTTTTTGGTTACATTGTTATAGTAAGTTCTAATATTCATTAAGCTTTTCTGTGTAATTTTATAGCGAAGTTACTGCTTTAAATATTGTTTACATGTTTTCGATGAAAGCAAAAGTTGCTATAATAAACTTAGCAGGCGTATAACTTGTAAATTGTATTTTCTCTGTGGTTTAGAGAGAACCTCTCATAAAATTATTTTCGTATAATATGAGAATTAATAACAGTGCTTCGTATCATTTAAAGATTTTTTTATTAATGAATATATACGAAAACCTTTCTTATTACATTTTTGTTCATTATTACTAAAAATTTAATACATTTTAGAAATATATTTGAATTTAGATTATATTTTCTATAACGTCATGAAACTATCGTATTTTTAAATATTACATGGCTGTTACATAATTTTGCAAATAAGTAAATGTTACTTTTATAAATATTTATAAAATATATATAAAAAAAATCTATTAGGTAATCGTCTTCGAGATACAGAAGGGAATTTCCTTCACCGAATAAGCTGAGCATGGTACCTAGCACAGAAATCCTGTGATACCTGGCGATAAAAATTCTCAATTTTGATTAAAGAACGTTTTAGTTCTCTTCTATTTCCTTAAAATTTTGAAATTGCTTATTATTTTTTTATAGAATTAGGGTGACAAACGAGCACAACCAAGTGGTTGCTGCGGCCCATAGACATATACCTTTATCCTCGCTTAGGAATCAAAACGCAGATGCGTTGTCACCCCTGAGGACTAAGACGGAATGCCTCGTTTTCAGTAAAAAAGGGTCTCCGGATCTCTACACTCACCATACGAAACACAGCAGTATTAAGCTGCTATTTTACGCCGGTATTCTGTGAGAGCGTGGTCCTTCCCCGGTCAAGCCAACTCATTCATGCTGCAACCATAATATATCTGCAGGCTGCAGCGTGGCTCTACCACGTATAAAAAATTCAAATTATTCTGTAGTTCTGTTGTGATCGGATCCTGAGAGAAAGATGTATTTTTGCCAGATGCGCTCAGATATTGTTGTGATTGTAATTAATGTTGAATATAATAATATAAATAAAAAACTAAATAGTTACAACGTTCATAATTTAACATTCAAACTATTTAGTGTATTATTATAGATTTTAGTCAGAAATTCAAACATGCTCCTTCAGTATCAATGATAAAACAAATTTTCCTTCCTTGGTTTCAGGGAAGGTTTTATTTTAGTTTTATTTAATCCACCTATCGTGTCTTGTATATGACGTTTTGATAGAAGACATTCCCGTCGCTCGTAATTATTAGATTGTACACCCAGCTTGTTTTTTATAGCGAGAGCGTAAATGCATACGGAAGTCCACTCTTAATTGTCGGTTCTCTTTCAATGTTGTATACGGAATTCAACTTTACATTTTCCATACTTTTTCTTGAGCAGATAGATATCCCGCTACAGTATTTTTTAAATACTTGCATAGCTATGAAAATGATTGTGGTAGGTGCGATTCACGACAGTAGTCGGAGGCGGATTCGAACCCACGACCTTTGAGTTCACGGTCCGCACCCTGTCATTAGGCTACTCCATGGTATTAAAGTATCTGTTGAATAAACAGAACAATCTGTTATCTTATACGGAACGGCGGGACTTAGGTTCGTCTTCAAGCTTGTTATTTTCCTGTTTAAATTTACTTAACCTCCTCTTTGGATTATTACTTCTATCTTTGCTCAGCATATTTGTTTAAAAGATGCTAAAGAATTAAAAAGATTAAAAGATGATGAAAGTATTATATGTATATATATCATATGCTTTTACAACATTTGGCTTTAAATCCAAATGTTGTAAAAGCATATGTTATAATACTTTATGCGTAGGTAATATTTTAGTTATTGATAAAGCAAGCATTAAACACGACTGCACAATAATAAGTTTTCTCTCTTAACTCATGTACGAAGTTATAATTTTAAACAACTGAAAGTTGTGTTTTACATCTTATTGTGAAATAATGAAGACTTATGCAACAACACAATGTTTAAAATATGGTTATATTGGCCTAATGAGCTTTTTTTACCCAAATTTCAGATAATAAGCATAGCTGTAGTGGCATTCAACCTTTACCAACTGGGCTTGGCTGTTACTTCGAAGGACGATAATGAACACGAAGCCAAATTCGGAAACTTTGACAAATTGGAAAGTATATTCGGGGAAGGGAAGAGAGATCTTGTCAGGCTTATAGTGAAGATATACTATTTGTCTTACATCGTAATTGGACTGTTGTTGTTTATATTTGCGTCGATTTTCACTTGCGGAGCTTACAAGGTATTTTTTTCCGATTTGTTTATTTTTGATTACTTAAGACTCTTTTTTGTCATTATTTATCATTATAATTTCATTATCCTGTAAGTAATTCATTACAGAGCGGGACATGGCTCTTCTCCCTTTGAAGGAGGGAAAGTTCAGTACGGCATTATTGGCATGACTTCCGATAGTAGTATCAAAATCCTTGACTTTTTATAATTGCCCGCGTCTGCTTTTTTTATAAAACGGAAGCGAGAAACAAAACCACTACCTACCTACTACTACCTACTACATTAAATAGACACCCGCAGTCAACTTCAATCAAATAATGCCACAGATGCGTCGTTATATCTGAAGACTTATATGAAATGCTCACAGCCAGACATTCTACTAGATCTTATTCGAACCTAAGTGACATTCCAGCCGCGTTGGTCCTACGCCTTCTCACTCTTCGGTCGTCGGTCGAAATAGAGAGTGCAAACACACTTGTGCACTATAGTCCTGTTCTGAGCAAATGACTAGTCTTCGTTGAGACTTTCGCTCTGGGGGACATTAAATTTATTTATTCTAATTCCTCTTTTGCTTCATCTAGTTCTTCTTTTTCTTTTTCAACAGCCTTTTTATGTTTATATAGGGCTTTCTATTGACGCACCTGCAGGCATGCATTATCATCACGCTAGCCAGGTGTGCTGGAGAGTCAAGAGCAAATTAATACTCTCATACTAGTAATGCAATAGTAATTTTACAGTCGTTAAATTAAGGTTAATGTCCAGTTTTCACTATTGCAGTAGCATATCAGTCAAGCTGCCGAATCCAGGACTAGGAATGCTAAAGAAAAGTAAAAAAAAAGAAATAGAATGCACTGGATCCAGTGTAGATTCCAGTCCAGTAACTAAACGGTAATGTTCTCGCACTGGCAAGCGCAGGGTAGGGTGACTCCTCACTGGACTGTGCAGTGATGAAACTTGCAGGAATTCAATGGATGTAGGCGACTCAGGACCGTTTGTTTTGGCGATCTATGGGTAATGCCTATGTTCAGTAATGCTCTTGTGATGGGCTGTAATGATGATGGATGATTTTCTTGTATAGATTTACAGCCATGAAGAGTTCAAAATAACTTTGTCAATCAGTCAGCAGAGTGTACTATTTGGAGGTTAGGTTTGGAGAAAAAGTTAACACGATATTTCGTTTTACATGGCTATACGAGTACCAGTTCATTAGTGTAGTATATCGTAAAATTAATTTCATCTTAGCTTAATATATCGAAACTAATAATTTTAATTTATATTTGGTACAAAATAGCCCTGCCCTTTTCACAAGGCTAGTTTCCGGCCATATGCGTGTCACGCGAACGAAATTACAAGTCCGAGAATTGTTTTCAAGGTGAACGGAAAAATTTGCTTCGACATTTTTTTATACAGAAATTATATAAATTATTACAAAAATTATTATCGGAGTCCTTTAAATGTGTACTTTTTTCACAATGTGCTTGAAATGTATATGTTTTAGGCGTTATACGTTTATACTCATATGGATTACCTCACGTACGCAATTTTTAAGTAAAAACAAGTCAATCCAAACTCGGGAATAAGTCCAGTCTGCTATTTATGGATCAACTCAAGGTTAGGCTACAGTACGCGAATAACCCCGTGTACTCGTAATAGCGGCGTAAATGAATCCGCGCTCTTTATTCATCCCGTGGTTGTCGTAAAGCGGGGAATCCACTAGATGTACCTGCCCACGAGCATGTCTGCAGACATGCCTACCAGACTTCGCTACTAGGTTTAGGTTAGGCTAGTGGTAGGTCTAGCTATAGGTTTGTGCAAAGTGTGATAGTGTAGAACCGTCGCAGTCGGTCTGACAGATTCGCCTGTTGAACGCGATCTCATTTGGCTGCCCGAGCACAGACATGCCTAAACGTGAATGTTCACTGCGGGCTGTCTGTTCACAGACACAAGAGCGACAGTAACCAGTGCAGACTGCCTTTTATATTATTCAACAAACTTTGTAGATTTTTAGTTTGCAATGAGTTGTAATGATAATAAAATATTCTGGAAAGAGTTTATACGACTCTATATCCATGCGCAAGTAATTGTACAGGTTTCCTGGTTGATCAATTTCTATTTTTTTTTTTTGGGAAATTGGTATAGCTAAACTTATTTCTATTTTTATAGCATTCTTTTCATCAAACTAATAATAAATAAATAATAAGAATTGCAAGTCTAGGTGGTCATCATATGCACGCGCAAATAGTAAGATAGCATTGCCAGATATCTGGACACAGTCAAGCTTTTTGGTTGCGTGTCCGGCCAAATTGGACGGTGACTTTTTTGCGCCCGAAGCAAATAAGGGCTACTCTCCGGTAAACGGGGGAGGGAGGTGGTGAATGCTCACAGCATACCCCGCAGCCGGTTGCGTGGTTATGTGGAGACTTTTACCCACTAAACACAACCTTTTGAAATGGGCTTAATGATCTAGCGAGAGATCTTCTAAGCCGTATCGAATACGACCCCCCTTGGGAGAAAGGGGGGATGCCAGCTACGTGTAGCCGCTGAGAAATGTGCCTAACTAAGGCAGATTACGAGATGAGACGTGGAGGCTCGGCCTGAGTCGCCAGGAGGCAGTTCAGGTCGGCCGAAGGCTTGTTGGGCGGGTCCAATAGAGAGTTTTTGGCCACTATACGCCACGAACACTATAATGAGGGGGAAGTGGGGCTTCATAAGCAGCTGCCTCGCGAGTGAGGTGATTTGGGTGGGACTCTGAGGCTTTGAAGAAGTTCTCAGAGAGTCGTACGAACCCGAAACAAAAAACCAGTCACGAGTTTGGGTGTTCTAAAATGAGTTAAAGCCAACAAAAATCGTTCGTTCACGGAGTGTTGCAAAAAAATGGTGGCCACGTTTGTCTCCAAAACCGGCCATGTTATGACTTTTCCTCTTGAGTGACAAAGAACGGTTAATGCAGAATGGTATGCTAGCATTTGTTTGCCACAGGTCGTTTCTGAACTCTGTAAAGAGAACTGCAACCGCCGCACCATCCTCCATCACGACAATGCGAGTTCTCACACCGCACACAGAACAAAAGAGTTTTTAGAGCAAGAAAACATAGAATTGTTAGACCATCCACCGTACAGCCCCTACCTAAGCCCTAATTATTTCTATACTTTCCCTAAAATAAAGAATAAATTGCGTGGACAGAGATTTTCATCACCTGAAGAAGATGTATGGCCTACAAAACGGCCATTTTAGAGACCCCAACTTCCGAATGGAATGGTTGCTTCAATGATTGGTTCCATCGTATCGAAAAATGTGTCAAATTTCGCGGAGAATACTTCGAAAAGCAATAAATACATTTTTAAATAGTAATATTGTGTCACTTCCTTGATTCCCGAAATTTTCCGTACAAGGGTGCGTTCGTAGCCCGACGACGAAAGAGGTTTTGAACTATTTGTAGCTAATTTAATAGTTTAGGCTTAGCATGAGCAAAAATAGGGGACAGTGTCTGGCATGTCCGTCTTTTGTTATGCTTTTTAAATTTTTCATTTACTTACATACATACTATAGAAATTATTGGAATTAATATTGTAATGAATACTCAATGATTAATAATAAAGGAGACTGATTTATTCAATTATTGTTATTTCATTACAATTTAAGATTTTATGGTAAATGATAAAAAGAATTCTTTTACTTTAAAAAGTGTCATTTTACTAAGACTAAAAAATGTCCGGCTAAGCTCGCTGGTTGGTCCGGCTTTTCGTTTTAAAGACCTGGCAACCGGTCTAAAACAAACTGAGTGATGAGTCTATGTACTATATTGCGGCGACAGGCATGCCCGGACAAACAGCCCGTTGGCACGTCCGTCTAGTGAATTCCCCGCTTAATATGTTTCAAAACCAAAAATATTTCGGGGACATAACATGAGTATGCCCACACATATTGAAGTGGCGGACTAATTGCTATATGCTTTTAAAAATGAGAGGTCTTTGCCCAGGAGGGCTTTAACGGATGAATATTATACGTTTTGTGATGTTTTTGTTCAATAAATAGTAGTTTGAGTGAAATAAATACAAATAAAAAACTTACTTAATATGTAATTAAATATTTTTTCCATTTGTTCATTTACTACAACTTTTCAAGTGTCCACTGTGGAACATTGGCCTCCAACAAGGAATGCTCTAAAACACGGTCCTGAGCCACCTGAATCATCAAATTCCTGAATGTCTTATTCCATCTAATGGAAAGTGCTCTATACTGAATTACTTTTTTACCGTCTGGAAAAAATAGGGTGTAACATGAACTGAGTAGAAGCCTGTGGCACTGATATTTTACAAAAAATAAAAACAAAAATTTTCAAATTAAAAAAATAAATTAATTGAAATCTATAGAAATTCAAATCATATCCACCCTACTTTAGGAACGGCAATTAAACCATAAATTAATTAGGCATATTTGACCTTGTTACTTCGCAGGGTACAGGCTCAAAAGATTTTTTTCACACGCTTAATTCAAAATTTTAGTTTTTATTTTTTGGTAAATATCAGTGCCAAAGTATTCTACTCCGTTCACATGTTACACCTTTTTTTCCAGATGGTAAAAAAGGTCATCCAATATTTCGCTTACTGATAAGAGGCTGCACTCCCATTGTTCCCCATCGGTTGTCGGTACTTCAAGGTATATGAGCGGTCCATTACCACTTCAGCTTAATAACATTACCGACCGACATAGCCCAACGGATTAGTAAGCTGAAGTGGCAATGGGCCGGCCATATAGCTTGAAGAACCGACAACCGTTGGGGAAAAAAGGCTCTCGAGTGGCAGCCTCGTACCAGAAGGGCGACCCTCCACTAGATGGAGTGACGACCTGGTAAGACATGCAGGAAGTCGATGGATGCAGGTGGCCTATGTTCAGCAGTGGACTTGTGAATGGCTGTAATGATGATGATGATGATGAATGATTTCTTAAATTTATACGAATACTACTCATACACGTGGAATTAAACTAATTTTACGAATTTTATAGCGTTCAACTTTAACTTATTAAATTCCCGACACTTTACAGCGCCCATGGTTATGGGGATATTCCCTCTACAACATGCAGGAGTGTACAAGCTTGATTGTGAATGTGGTCTCTCGTAAATGGGACAAACCAAAAATTCCATATAAACCCGCGTAAAAGAGCATATTGTTGATGTGAAGCACCGACGCCCCAGGCAATCTCTAATATATCAACATATTCAGGATCGTCCGAACCATTATATCATATTTGATAGAACACAAATCCTCGCAAAAAAACACCTATTCTTACCAAGGATGATTCACAAGGCTATTGAAACTAAATAAATATATCCTAATTTCTATAAAGAAGATGGCTGAGTGCTACCATGTGCTTGGGATCCCATAATTAATAAAATTAAATCCAAGGCTACTGCAAGATATCAAGATACAGTAAGCTCGTTCTGCGCAAATCAGACAAAAAATTAATAATTAAAAGGTCAAGGTAGCCTTCGTTGACTACGACGTCAGGATGTCAAACACCTCAGCCCCTCTCCCAGTCGGGAATTAAAAAGGTTAAAATTAAACGCGATAAAATCTGTAAAATTAGTTTTATTCCATAGGTACAAATAATTATTAAAAATAATATTTCAAAGGAAGTACAATGTACACATTCTTAGCTCAACCTATATTACGAATCCTAAGACACAAGCTCCACCTCTACAAAGCCTTAAAAATTTGTATGACCTCCGAGACGTCCAAAATAGATTCATTCGCATCGCCACCGGAACTCGGTGGTACCAGCGAAACACGAACTCGGACAGAGATTGTCAACTGCTGACGATCTCCAAATATTTCAAAGAAATGTCTCGGCGCTTCTTTGAGAGCGCTGAGACACTTAACAACCCGCTAGTGGTAAACGCAGCAACCTACGCTCCGACTCCAAACGTTATATATCTTCTGTAAATATCCAATGCTTGCCTTCCTAACGACCTGTCACATAGGACTACTACTAGGACTAGGCAGCCGAATTTAGGACCGCAGCGGAAGACGTCTCGCATCTTTACCTGTAGAGATACTTTACGCTTGACGTGAGCAAAATGTTTATGCCTCCACCTATCGGAAGCCATAAGAATTTCGGACTTTTTCTGTAATCGTTCCTTATGAAACCATACGAAATGTTACGGTGAATTCTTTAACGCCACCACCACACACAATAAAAAGGTATACAAAACTTAAAAATTCTTTCAATCTAGAGCCGTGGTAATTCGGGGGCAAAGAGCACACTGTAAAATTTCACAGTATGCGAGCAATCTGGATTCAATCCCCGCCGGCACCAATGAAATTGTTAATTGCAGTTTTAAGTGCTAATTTACCACGTACTCGGGAGTGAAGGAAAACAACGTGAGGAAACCTGCATGCCTGAAAAATAAAAAAATATTTCGGAAACATGTGAATTTCGCCAACACGCATTGAGACAGCAAGGTGAACGTTTAAAACCCTCTCAGGAATGAAAGAAGGCCTGTACCCAATAGTAGAACGTATATAGGCAGTAACTTTAAATTTTTTTAACTTTCAATCTTGTAATTTTCAGGTGAACAACTGCCTAGTCACAACATTCTTCGTGTACAGTTTCTTTCATTTGTTTTTGACGATTGGGCTTCTTGTGTGGGAAGCCATTACGGCGGGATGGATTCAACTCGGCTTAATTTTGTTAGCTGATTGTAAGTGAATTTCATTTTTAACTAACGTATCCATTTCTTTCTTTAAAAATATTCGAATCTTTGACCGTAAATCTACCTGATGCATAGGGGAAGCTTATGTTTCTTTGGTTATATGCCAATTTTTCAATTCTCAGATAAAATTGTTCATAATTTCAATAAAATAAATTAAACGAATTAGAAATTATAGTTTTATGTTGATTGTGTAAATAAAATACTTCAATTGTTTGACTTTAAGTTAAAAGTTAAGTCAATAATTTTTATTGTATAACATTTTTTGACATTTAAAATATCAGCTTCAAGTAAAATAAGTTAATATTAAAAATAGGTATTGAAAAAAATAAACTAAGTAATTGAACAAAAATCAAATCTACCCACATTATTTAGTTCAGTTCAGACTACTTCATTGTGTGAAGTTCGAACGTGTGCGATAATTAGTTGTGATTTTATAAATTTATTAACAAAGTAATCGGACATAATTTCCGCGAATGGAGCAAATCGAGCAGCGTGCCGTCATTAAGTACCTCCATAAGAAGGAGCTATCATCAAAAGCCATCCATGATGACATGGTCAGTACATTAGGTGATTGTGCTCTGTCATATTCATCCCTCAAAAAATGGATAGCAGAATTTAAGCGTGGTAGAGAGAGTGTGAAAGATGAACCCCGCTCTGGAAGGCCTTCGACGTTAACTACTGACGAAAATATTAAAAAGGAACTTGATTTAATAATGGGAGACCGCAGATTAAAAATTAGAGAGATAGCCGAGATTATAGGCATCTCTTATGAACGAACTCAAAACATCATTGTCAACGAGTTGGGTTTCCACAAGGTGTCTGCGAGGTGGGTTCCGCGACTGCTTTCAGTTGAACAAAAAAGGACGCGATTGACTATTTCACGCGACTGTTTGGAGTTATTTGAAGCCGATGCAGATGATTTTTTGAATCGTTTTGTTACTATGGACGAAACATGGGTTCATTACTGTACACCGGAAACAAAACAACAATCAAAACAGTGAAGAAGACCTGGTTCATCACCCCCTAAAAAGGCTAAGTCGATTTTGTTGGCAAATAAGGTGATGGCTTCAGTATTCTGGGACTCGAAAGGTGTGATTATGATTGATTATCTTGAAAGGAGTCAGACTATAAACTCTGATTACTACTGCACCTTACTACGTCATTTACGAGAGGAAATAAAAGAAAAACGTCGAGGAATGCTCAGAAGAAAAGTCCTGTTTCATCAAGATAACGCCCGTGTTCACACGTCAGTACAGTCAATGGCTGAAATTCACAACTGTGGCTTTGAACTGTTACCGCATCCGCCGTATTCACCTGATCTGGCACCATCAGACTTCTTTCTGTTCCCTAACCTAAAAAAGCACTTGGGAGGTCAAAGATTTTCGACAAACGACGAGGTCAAAGCAGCTGTAGACGTATATTTTGACTCTAAGGAAGAATCATTTTTTTTCAACGGTCTAAATGCTTGGAAGGGGAGGTGGCAAAAGTGTATTGAACTTGATGGTGATTATGTAGAAAAATAAAAATATAACTGATTTAGTATGTGTTTATTTTCTTGGTTAGGCCGAGTACTTTTCAATCCACCCTCGTACCATCCATATTCTGTTAGTAAGTAAAAATTAATACAGTAATTGTTGATTGATCCTTTTTGACAGCATTTTTAAGTCTGACAAAGATTGAAAAATAACAGGTATAAAATTCCAATGCGAAACAAATGCCACCGCCATAATATATGGCCTCATTGGTGAGATTTTGACCGCAGCATTTTATTACAACTTAAAAGTTATTGATATCAGGAAGGTACTGCTGCCCATTTCCCGTTTCAATCTACTTCTCTACTTCTACTACTCTCGCCTCTTATAATACCGACGGGACTATGTGAGATAGTGGATTCTCTTCAATCTCTACTACACGGTTACGATACTTCTTACATAGTGTTTATGCCGGGCTTAAAATACTTAAAACAACGAAGGAAGCCAGCGTCAAAGGAGCGGAACGTTTGGTACTGACTGCGATAGTCAATCTGCCTACCAAACGTGAAGTGGCGGGACGATCGAGGCCCCTATCTGGAAGAGGACACTGTACCTAAGGAAAGAAATAAAGTGTTGCTTTATTTCAAAACAGTTATACTAAAATGAACCTACTCTTACAGATATTACAGTACAAAACACCTAATTAGAAACAACACGTAACTTATTTGAACATTGGACATAAGCGATTCACGTCGAATTTTTCTGTTCTTGGAGTAAGACTTTTGAACTCCTTACCTCAGTTGTTAGCGCCGCGCTGCGAGATGAATCATCTTATTAAATCTTTCAATTTTATTGTATATTATACGAAAAGTAATCAATCTTATTAAAGGCTTTTTTCAATGGCGATATCTTAACGGTGTGAAATTACTGCTTTTGAAAAATGAAGTCTTTATTTAGTCTTTATCTACAGAGCAAAATTATAATTTTTAATGACGGTTTCTTAGAGCATAGACATCCTTAGCATTTTACGTAAATATGCGTCAGAGTTATCTTTCAGGTCGAATAATTTATTTTAAGCGTTAGTATAACGGAACAACATATAGTCTTAAAGTGCGATACAAAGCCTAAATTACTGAAATATTGCGATTTAATATTAAAAAATAAAATTATAAAATCACCATTACTGCCTATTTCAATATCCTTTCTTTCCGTGTATTTGAAACTTAAAACGGTAATTTTAAATATTCAGAAATACATATCACTTGTTCTATTTAGTCAATTATTAAATATAATTAATTTTAAAAATGCTATAAATCAGAGTGCGGCGTACGCAGCAGAGTTGCCGAATTTTCCCAAATCCATGGATCTCCAGACTCTCAAAGAGGATCGAAATTTTTTGTCATAGAATAGACCATGTTTTTGTAAAAATTCTTTCTGTCGTGTAAAATTCTTGTTATAAGTCAAATTGTAATTGATTTATACTATATCGGCTTCCCGAATCAATGGCTGCGTTTGGCAGAAAAAAGCGCTAGTAAGCGCTTTTTTCTTCCAAACGCACCCAATAGGAGATAGCTTAGATCTTAGGGTGTGACACAGAAAAAATGACGTCGTATTTTATTGACAAATAACCTTTTAAAGTTATTTGTCAATAAAATACGACATATTACATCATGTTTGTATATTTCTAAATACTTAAATCTAATGTAGCTGAAAATTGAAAAGCAAGTTAAAATTACATCATGCATTTTTTTTATTTGCTTAAAAGACAAAAAACACGTATTTTATAATTTAATATTAAACAGTTTGCTTATAATTTTTTTAATAAACATTTCCCTAATTCGTTTCAGTACTCCTCATAATTTGCTTAATCAGTGTCAAATACTTAATGGAAGCAATCAGGAATGGCAACATCTACAGTCGACCGGGTGAAGAGAAGTATAAATATTGAAAAAGGGACAGCAATCAATGTGGAGTATTTGTTATGAATGGGTCGCTACGAGACTGTATTTGTAGTTAATTTAAAACTCGATACTTTTTCATATAATCAGCGTAATGATTTCGTTGTGTACGTATGTGTACTTACCTTTTTTTTACCTGATAGTAAGTGGTGATGAGCTGTTCTATTTTCGTTCTAGACTTTGTATAAAAATACTTCAGCTATGAGAGTAAACTACTTAAGTTGTATAAATATAGTATTAAACGTTAATTCAGTCTAGTGCCGTTAACTGATGTTTTTCGTTAAATTATAATCTTGAATTTCGTTTACACGTAGTCCACCTCCTAATTGGATGAATTATACTGTAAGTGTAATTATATTTATTACATGTTTTATAACCCAGTACCGAACTACTGGTCCTGGAGATAAAGTTGAGATGTATGCATTTAACTTAACAAAAGCCTTCAAGCTTGAGAGTAGCTTCAAGGCATTGAGACATAGACCCCTTGATATTGTAAAAAAATAGAAAGAAAACATGCTATTTAACATTATTATTGATTTGAACAGTCCAATTATTTAAATTATTTTATTATTATCTGTTCAAATCCAATTTATATCGAATATTATAATTACTTTAAAACCTCGTATAAGCGTAATGTATGTTTGCGAACTGATGTTTTATGATATGCGAATACTGATGTGCGAAATAAGTTAATAAAAAAAGTAGAGGACTAAGCTTTTTTGTAGTACCTACGCGATCAATAGCATTTCGACGAAATACACGTTGGGGCAGCGTTTCGGATTATTTCTTGCCCCAAAACCAGAAAAAGAGGATACCTGTACCCAGCTCTGAAACATACATATACTTATACTTCACATGCGTAGGACTGTAGCCGTTCACACATGGCTTCAACCACCACTGGGTGCAGATAGCAGCTTGCAGGGGTGAACGTACCTATGAATAAATAACAACGCTCGTAGACGATACTAGTAAATATGCCATAAAAAGGAGGAACATTTGATATTTATATAATATATTATGAAAAAGTAATGCAGTGTGTACATGTGTAACAGAATTCGCTCCAGATCTACTGTTGGGGGAAGTCAATGTGTGCACGGGTCGTTACGTTAATTAATGAATAATAAAGGAATAAGCAAACATACAGATTGTTGGAATAACCACTTGTAAACAATGTTGGTGAGCAAATATTTATTTTATGTTAGAATGGTTTTAAATCATTCTATGAACTTTTAAAGAAAATGAATAATTATAAAGACGTAAATTACATTCCTATATCATGGTTATGTAAATATTGTCAAACGTAATTCGTTTAATTTGTAAACCAATAAAAATGAAAGGTTACTTATTAAACCCTCTTCAATGATAGTATGTAAATTCAGACCCACTATCAATTAATATACATTTTGTAAATAAAACACATTAATCGAACTTGTAATCGTTTTATTCGTGATTATATTCCAGAAATAAAAATTGTAATCTATTAATTTTGCATGAAGTTAATTTTACTATCATTATACTAACTACTAGTGAGTATTATAATGATACCTACATAATTGCTAAAACAGCGTGTATTCAATTTTGCGGATGATAATTATTTGATCAAAGTAAATTACCTGTAAGTGTCCCTCGATCAAAATTATAATATAAAGTTGACGCCTCCTCCTTGTTTGTATACTATGTAGTAATGAATCGACGTACCTAATCACATGAGTTTTAACCTTCCGGGGGAAAAATAACATTTTTACTGGTATCCCAAGCTATATGAGCTCCCACTGGCAACACTGTACACCTCATGTCATTGTGAATTTATATCCACTAGAATTAGGAAAAAATAATTAAAATGCAATCAAGCACTAAGAGTGGGTAATAAGCAGGGTAGGGTTGTACACAGAGGAGGCGTCAACTTCATATAATGTTGATCGAAGGACATTTACAGGTAAGTTAATTTGATCAAATAATTATATTCGTTGACGCCTCCTATGTGTTTGTATACTATATAGATGTTTAAAGATTTGATTGCTTCATTTTATTTATTTACTATTATAAATCATCGTAATTAGCAATTTAAAACAAAACAAATAATAGAATAGAGAGATAATATATAAATTTCGATAATATAATATCCATTTTCATGAATTATTGTTTTTTTATTTTATACTTTATATTTCAAATGCAAATTCTCATAATATCTCATTAATTAATAATGGCCTATTATAAAAATGGAAATAAGTTTGAGATGTAAATTTGTTGTCTTTCTAACGTATTCAATATTAATACCACTTCTTCTAGGACAAGAAGGGGATGAATGCCTGGTACTGTGTATTTAATGTATTTTCTTGTTAGAATACTTTGCCTAACTAGCTGTTTGACTTATTGCAGGGATATTAAGTAGTTTTGAAAATTCACAACTAATTTACCAAATTTCATACAGTTTAGTGGCATACATGTGATATTGTGAGGAAACGGATACAAGTGGTAATTTTTTTTTGTACAGCCAACTCAATTATAAATAAAATAAGAATATCATCAACGTATTCGAAGTCAATTACATACGCATTATTAAGGATAACTCAATAACTACTAGTCAGATCTTGATAAAATTTATATGGACATGAGAAAACACTAGCTTTTAAATAAAAGAAGATTCATTAAAATTGGCCAGAAAAAAGTAATAAGGTAACACACGTTAAAAAACATATAGTTGAACTGAATACCTCCTCCTTTTGAAGTCGGTAAAATTTCTCGTATTTTCTCCTAATAATGTATTATTTCGCTTTTTCTTGTTTTTTTCATGAAATTCAGCTATGTAAATCGAATTGAGTCAGCTTTGATCGTATTATTGGTTTTTTTTTTCATGCTATAAACACCAGAAAAAAAAATTGTTTATTGTATTCTTCTTTTCTTCATCCTATGAACACAAGAAAAGAACCGTTTAACATCACAACATAAGCTCAAATCATTATATCACGAACAATATGTAAATTTCTTACCTACCATGATTTCAGACCTATTATCATATTAGATCTATATCATAATATTGTGTATACAGACAAGGGCGTAATGATTATTTTTATTTTTTCCCTACGAAAATACCTCCCTTACAGTACTACCACACTTTGCTGTGGTAATGCTGTAAGTTTAGATCAAAGGAGATGTTGTATAACAGTTGTTGACCAGGGTAAAGTCTTTTTTTTTTTCTTTTTACCAAGGCTTTCGTGTTCCGCATTTTAAAATTGTGGAGAATAGTGCATAAAACTTAAGCTTGACCCATAAACTTTATGCATTTATATTTTTCTAATAGCAAATGCATCAACTTTAGTTTAACTATTAACTTTGGTTAAAAACTTAGTGAAAATGTTCCTATAGGCTTAGGAATTCGATTCCCATTTTATTTCCTCATTAATTTTCCTGGATTCTGCATACGAGAAAATAACCCTGAGATCTCATTTATAAGGCAAAAAAGAAATACATATATTTCACAAGATCAATTTTACAAGCTTTGTCACTTGATTTGGTTATTACATGCAACCCATATGGTTTATGTTTGATATAGATGTAGTGTTATAAAAAAGGAGACGGTTCAAAATTGTATGAAGCGTAGGCCTGGTTTTGTACAAGTAGGTAAAATAGATTAAAATAATATATTATACCACTTTTGGTCATTCAAATCCACGAATTTGGCTTTATTTCAGCGGTGTTAATATTTTGTTCTCACCAAAAATTGCAACACTTATGGCGAATTGATGTCGTTTTGACGTTAGCTGTCAACTCTCATGAGGTTGTTGATCAATTTATTGACAGATATTTGAATTCTGAAACGCTGCTATTTTTATCATTGATAGCCTATCAAGTAGATTTATTAGGTACAATGGCCAAAATATCTCGAAACTAGTATGATTCAAAATGTGATTCTATACATATATTATGTCCAATACCAACGAAATCAAAAAAATGAAGTCCATAAAACAAAAGCCGAGTCAAACAATTAGTAACAGATCCAAAGTCCAAACAAAACAAACAAATCGTCGAAGAAATCTAAAAGAAACTCCAGAAATGCATTCACGACTTCACAACTACACGAACAAGCTCAGAATAATCAAAAAAATATCACACTACTTACATTAATTCATGACTTAAGTCATGAATTAATGTAAGTAGTGTGATATTGACATATAGTTTTATGATTGGAAGTGCGCCATCTTGCAAAATCATCAAAAATTAGAATTGCATTTTTATTTTTAGTTAGTAATTTAGTTTGATTTATTCTCTAATTTTATCTTTAATAAAATCCCTGAATTTTTCGCTTTTTCACGGTATAGTGTACATAGACTGGGCCTGAAATGGACCGTCTCTTTTTAGCTATGGGGAATTAAAGACATTTAAGTATGTATAGTAATAGACCGGACAACGGCAACAAAATTGTCGTCTGTAACTTTTGTCCTATAGGATATATCTCCGATTTTTGTAATTTAGTCTAAATTACATCACCGAAAGGTCAAGGCGCATTCGCTTCATAAATTTAAAAAATATTTTTAAAGAAAATATGCCCGGTTGTGTATTAAGGTATTGTAAGTTACGATATGGAGCAAAAAATGAACATGATTTCGGTTTATTATCCTAAGAATAATGTATATTTACCAAATAATCTTTAAATTTTATTGTTTTTGGTAGATTGTTCTAGAAGAAAGAAAAATTATTGTAGTAAGTGCCCTCTGTTATCCAGTAACATCACTATTTATTTACAAATATGTTAGTAATTGACGACGTGCCTAAAACCAATTTTTACCTTATATTTAGAAGCGTCACCCAATGAGAAATAGCTAAAATGTTTTCCAAATAAATATTCAGCGTAGTATTGCTATTTTTCGCTAGAGGGCTTAACACACGCGCGTGCTCACAGTTTTTGTATGGAAATGTTCCCAATGTCCACTCTATATTATATAACAAAACGTTATGATCTAAAAAAAAATATTGTGCTGTTAATTATATT